ATCCATCTTGGGACCCTGACTTTGAAGGGCTTCAGACTGTGGGATATGAGTCTGGGCCAGTTACCAAAACTGTCTGTGGTTCAGTTTCTCTCTCTGTAAAATAGCAACAATAGAACCAACCACTAAGTGTTCTTGGGAGATTACTGAAAGAATTAAAGGCATTTAAAGTGCTTAGAACAGTGTCTGGAATGAAGCAAATGTCCAATAACCTTTAGATATTGTAATTATCATAAACTCAACAGTCACACAAGTAATTTACAAGCCTCTAAATTTACAGAATTATTTAGGGCAGGATGCCCTAGTTTAAAAAGAGGAACTAGTGCAGAGTTTAGTTGTTTTTCCTAAATATTTCCTCTAAGGAAAAGAAAATCCCATTCATGGCTCCAAGCTATAATTATTCACTATCTAAAACAGTGCTGATCCCTGAGGGTAAATATCTGATATGAATTTTCTTTGTGCATCTGTGATTACCCAGAGATATGTATGCAGACAATTATTGTTTGAGCACAGAACTGAAAGTCAGGAAGTACAGGCTAAAGTACAGCTTCCATCACTTGCGGAGGACTTCACATTAACCACTCTTCTGGGATTGAGTGACCCAGCGAACTTTAGTGAATGTGATGGTAAAATCAGGGAAATGCCCTGTTGCTGTTGTTCAGTCACTAGATTGTGTCTGACTCATTGTGACCTCACAGACTGCAGCACAGCAGGCTTCCCTGTCCTTCACCATCTCCCAGAGCTTGTTCAAACTCATATCCATTGAGTCAGCGATGCCCATCCAGCCATCTCATCCTNCTGTTGTTCAGTCACTAGATTGTGTCTGACTCATTGTGACCTCACAGACTGCAGCACAGCAGGCTTCCCTGTCCTTCACCATCTCCCAGAGCTTGTTCAAACTCATATCCATTGAGTCAGCGATGCCCATCCAGCCATCTCATCCTCTGCCATCCCCTTCTCCTTGTACCTTCATTCTTTCCCAGCATCAGGGTCTTTTCCAATGAGTCAGCTATTCCTATTAGGTGGCCAAAGGATTGGAACTTCAGCTTCAACATCAGTCCTTCCAAGAACACCCAGGACTGATCTCCTTTAGGATAGACGGGTTGGATCTCCTTGCAGTCCAAGGGACTCTCAAGAGTCTTCTCCAACACCACGGTTCAAAAGCATCAATTCTTCACTGCTCAGACTCCTTTATAGTCCAGTTCTCATATCCATACATGACTACAACAAAGACCATAGCTTTGACTAGACAAGACATTTGTTGGAGAAGTAATGTCTCTGCTTTTTAATATGCTGTCTAGGTTTGTAACTGCTTTTCTTCCAAGGAGTAAGCAAAGTTTAGTTTCATGGCTGCAGTCACAATCTGCAATCATTTTGGAGCCCAAGGAAATAAAGACTCTCACTGTTTTAATTGTGTACCCCATCTGTTTGTCATGAAATCATGGGGCCAGTTGTGATTATCTTCATTTTTGAAAGTTGCATTTTAAACCAGCTTTTTCACTCTCCTTTTCACCTTCATCAAGAGGCTCTTTAGGTCCTCTTCACTTTCTGCCATAAGGGTGGTGTCACCTGCATATCTGAGGTTATTGATATTTCTCCTGGCAATCTTGATTCCAGCTTCTGCTTCATCCAGCCCAACATTTCTCATTATATACTCTGCATAGAAGTTAAATAAGCAGGGTGACAACACACAGCCTTGATGTACTCCTTTCCCAATTTGGAATCACTCCATTGTTCCATGTCCAGTTCTAACTGTTGCTTCTTGGCCTGCATACAGGTTGCCCAGAAGGCAGGTCAGGTGGCCTGGTATTCCCAGCTATTGAAGAATTTTCCACAGTTTGTTGTGATCCACATGGTCAAAGGCTTTAGCATAGTCAGTGAAGCAGAAGTAGATGTCTTTTGGAATTCCTTTGCTTTCTCTATGATCCAACAGATGTTAGCAATTTGATTGCTGGTTCCTGTGCCTCTTCTAAACCCAACTTGAACATCTGGATGTTCTCGGTTCACCTCCTGTTGAAGCCTAGCTTGGAGAATTTTAAGCACTACTTTGTTAGCATGTGGAATGACTGCAGTTGTGCAGAAGCTTGAAGATCCTTTGGTATTGCCTTTCTTTGGGTTTGGAATGAAAATTGATTTTTCAAGTCCTGTGGCCACTGCTGTGTTTCCCAAGTTTGCTGGCATATTAAGTGCAGCATTTTCACAGCATCATCTTTTAGGATTTGAAACAACTCTGCTGGAATTCCATCACCTCCACTAGCTTTGTTGTTAGTGACGCTTCCTAAGGCCCACTTGACTTCACACTCCAGCATGTCTGGCTCTAGGTGAGTGAGATAACATCATGGTTATCTGGGTCATTAAGATCTTTTTTGTGTAGTTCTTCTGTGTATTCTTGTCATCTCTTCCTGATATCTTCAGCTCTGTTAGGTTCATATGGTTTCTGTCCTTTATTATACCCATCTTTGTATGAAAATTTCCCTTGGTACCTCTAATTTTCTTGAAGAGGTCTCCAGTCTTTCCCATTCTATTGTTGTCCTATATTTCTTTGCATTGATCACTGAGGAAGGCTTTCTTATCTCTCCTTGCTATTCTTTGGAACTCTGCATTCAGAGGGGTATATCTTTCTTTTTCTCCTTTGCCTTTCACATCTCTTCTTTTCGCAGCTATTTCTAAGGCCCCCTCAGGCATCACTTTGCCATTTTGCATTTATTTTCTGGGGGGATGATTTTGATCACCACCTCCAGTACAATGTTATAAACCTCTGTCCATAGTTCTTCAGGCACTGTATATCAGATCTTATACCTTGAATCTATTTCTCACTTCCACTGTATACTGCAAGGGATTTACTTTAGGTCATACCTGAATGGCCTAGTGGTTTCCCCTACTTTCTTCAATTTAAGTCTGAATTTGGCAATAAAGATTTCATGATCCGAGCCATAATCAGCTCCTGGTCTTGTTTTTGCTGATATATAGAGCTTCTCTATCTTTGGCTGCAAAGAATATAATCAATCTGATTTTGGTATTGAAGATCTGGTGATGTCCATGTGTAGAGTCATCTATTATGTTGTTGGAAGAGGGTGTTTGTTATGACCAGTGCATTCTCTTTGCAAAACTCTGTTAACATCTGCCCAGCTTCATTTTGTACTCCAAGGCCATGCTTGCCTGTTACTCCAGGTACCTTTTAACTTCCTACTTTTGCATTCTAATCCCCTATGATGAAAGAAATATAAGTGCTGAAGAATTGATGCTTTTGATCTATGATGTTGGAGAAGACTCTTGAGAGTCCCTTAGACAGCAAGGAGATCCAACCAGTTAATCCTAAAGGATATCAGTCCTGATTTTCATTGGAAGGACTGATGCTGAAGCTGAAACTGCAATATTTTGGCCACCTGATGTGAAGAACTGACTCATTTGAAAAGACCCTGATGCTGGGGTAGATTGAATGTGGGAGGAGAAGGGGATGACAGAGAATGAGATGGTTGGATGGCATCACCACCTGAATGGACATGAGTTTGAGTAAGCTCCAGGAGTTGGTGATGGACAGGGAAGCCTAGAGTGCAGCAGTCCATTTGGTTGCAAAGTGTTGGACACGACTGAATGACTGAACTGAACTGATGATGAAAAGGACATCTTTTTTTGGTATTAATTCTAGAAGGTCTTGTAAGTCTTCAGAAAACCATCCAACTTCAGCTCCTTAAGCATTAGTGAGCAGAGCACAGACTTGGATTACTCTGATATTGAATGGTTTCCCTTGGAAATGAACAGAGATCATCTTTCATTTTTTATTTTTGTACCCTAGTACTCTATTTCAGACTTTTTTGTTGACTAGCACACTGTATGATTTATTAAAGTTATCTGTGGCCACCAGAATTCTGATGTTCATGGGACCTCTAGAGATGAGCCCATCCAAACCTTTCCAAGGCACTGGATCATTTAAAAGTTGTATCAGTGAATTTGAAATGAATTTTCTTGCTCCTAGGATTATGTTCATAGCTCTTTTTTATTATTATTTCAAATTTCTCATTCCTGTAGAGCTTCTGAGCATCTCACAGGAAATTCATCCTTTGAGATAATCTAAGTGAACTCTATATTTCATAAAGGAATCTTTTGCACATGGTAAATAGTTGATAACATAGAAAGTAACACAGATCTGTATAGATAGCAAAGTTCGCCAAAGTATAATTAGAGATCAAACAACACATTGATTTAAAAAGGTAACTATTATTAATAGATACTCACTTCTACATATAAAACAGACAAACAACAAGGACCTACTGTTTGGCAGGGATCTATATTCAATATCTCATAATGGTCGACAGTGGAATAGACTCTGAAGAAACAATATGTATGTATATATCGTTTGCTGTACACCCGACACCAGTGCAACATTGTTCATCACCTACACCTCAATAAAACCTTTGTTTTGAAAAGTAGAAAACTTCTTTTGGGGGTCTTCCCTGGCAGCCCAGCTGGTAAGACTTCTCCTTTCAATGCACGGGGTGCAGGTTTGATCCCTCATCCGGGAACCACGATCTCACATGCCTCACAGCAAAAAAATAAATAAAACATAAAATAAAAGCAATATTGCCACAAATTCAATAAACACTTCAAATGAAATGATCTGTATCAAAAAAAATTTAATTAATCAGTTTTAAAAAGAGAATTGTTAGAGTTATGTATCTGCTCAATGAACCTCCCCCATCCCCCAAAAAAGAAGTAAATTATAAGTCCCATAACAATTTGAGGACAGTTTACAAATCACTACTCATCTGTCTGTTCTCCAGGAAAAAAAAAATTTATCATAACTTGTTTTTAGCATTTTGCTTTTTGTTAATTTTTTAAGGTTTCATTTTTTGTTTAAATTATGCCTAATTATATTTATTAAATAAATGTCTATTCATAAAATTAATGTATCATACATTGATAAAATAGATTAATAATTATGTTCATCTGTGCGCCCACTCCACTGAAGGAAGTAATTCCTTTCTTGCATGTTTATCTCACAGTCCCGGTTGGTGGAAGATTTCCAAGAACTGCGGAAGACATTAGAGACCATGAATTTGTTCAATGCCAACCTGGGGTTCTTCTTCCTTCACCTCGCCCAGGTCTTGATTTTGGAAGCCCTGGCTTGGGTAATAGTGTGGCATTTTGGCAGTGGCTGGCTTGTCACAATATTCATTTCTTGTCTTCTCACGGTTGCTCAGGTAAGTAGGTGTCCTAAGCCCAGGCAGTGGCTCTATGGGAAGCCTCAGAATTTTTTCTTCCCTCTTTACACTGGTGTCAGCAGCCTCCTAGCACTTCCTGGCAAGCTACTCATCAGTGTCTGACACCAGCAAGTTATCAAAACTCACTGGGCCCCAGTTCTCTCATCTGTAACACGGGGTAATGATTTTTTTATGAAAATATTCTGAGGAGAACTAAACAAGTTACTCTGTAGAGTACCTAGCACAGAGACTGGCATGTGGTAAATATTCTTGGCAGTTGCTACCCGTTGCCCAATATTATCCACACAATGTCAGTAACTGGAGTTCTGTTCTGGGCCATGTAACCTTTACCTATATCTTTCATTCGCTATCCAACCAACATTTTTAATGGTTGTTTTATGATTTTACAAAGACTATAAGCACATATGTGAACTTATTTTGTTTTCTTTTTAATCGCTCAGTTGTCTCCAATTTTTTTAGACCCCATGGACTGTAACTGGCTCCTCTGTCCATGTATTTCTTCAGGCAAGAATACTGGAGTAGGCTGCATTCCCTTTACCAGGGAATCTTCCTGACCCAGGGATCAAATCCGAATCTCCCACATTACAGGCAGATTCTTTACCCTCTTAGCCACCATGAAGAAACAAAGACCCACACTAATTTATACCTATATGTGTGTGTATATATATATACATATATATCACTATTTATACATGCTGTTCCATAATAAAAGATTCTACTAAAAAGAAGTTATATATATATATATATATATATATGTATGTATTTTTTTAAAAAATTCCCTGAGACCCTGGCCAAAAGCCTCACTTCACCAATACTTATCAATACACCAATCTATGAAGAGAGTCTATTTATTATCCCATGATAATAGGATCAAGTATTCTGCCAGAAATGGCAATCAGCAACTGGCGTGTAGCAGCGCAATTGATAAATCCTTTGAATGAAGCACAGATCTTTGAAGAGGGCCTTCTATGCCCACAACACTGTATTGTGGACACAAAGGGAAACGCACCTGACCTTGTACTTGGGCAGCAGTCATCCAACAGAGGAGACGGTCATTTAAATATCTAGACATGATACAAGGCAGAGGGGAAAGAAACAAGCATGTGCTGCTGGAGCAGAAAGAGGCATCTAATTCTAATTGAGGCAATTGGGGATGATTTCATGGAGAATTAACATCAATGGTAATTACAAAATTTTATATGCTAATTTTTTTTCTTGAAAAGTCAACTTGCTTTATTCTTTGAAAAGCAACTTTTGGAATCAAGGAAGAAACAAATATTTGACCGCTTAGCATTATCAGGAATTTTACATGTATTTTGGCTGCAAGACAGCTGAATGAGCAAGGTATAATATTATAATCCCTGCTTCTCAGACAAAGAACTGAGCTCAGAGCCACCGACTAGCTTGGCAAGAGTTGTATAACTTGTAAAGTGGTAAAGGACAGTTCAGAGCCCTAGTCAGCCTGACTCCAGAGGCATCCTCCTTCCAGTCCACACTGGACGATTCTGACAGTGGAGAGAACATTCTAGGCTTAGAGAGCCACCTGTGCAAAGGTACAGGGATGGGAAAGCACTCAGCAAGTGTGACAGATACAGAGATCGCCACTGTTCTCATGGGGTCCTGAACCCACCAGCGGGCCCACTTACTGCTTCTTCTTTCCTTGTCAACTTCTCTGACTGCAACCCTGTCTCTTCCAGGCTCAGGGTGGATTTCTGCAGCATGACATGGGACACCTATCCATATTTAAGAAGGCCAAGTGGAACCGCCTGATGCAAAAATTTGTGATGGGTCATCTCAAGGTACAGAATGTTCCAGGAGTATGATGGGATTCTGAAAGTCATCTCACTAAGCAGTGGTTTCTACATACACTTATCAGCAAAAAATGTTACTACACACCCCACAAGTAATTGTAAATATACTGACAATGTACACATAACATTATAACATATATGTTAAATTAGACTTTTAAATGTTTACAAGAAAAGGTTTATTTTTATTTAAGAAGTTCTGTTTTTTTCTTAGCCAATAAAACATTTGGACCAATCCCTGATACACCATTAAAGAACCACCTCTCAAGAGATATACCTATAAAGTCATGAGTAGGGATATTCTTAGAAGGGGTCTGGACATGTGTTTCTGGGAGGCTAGGGGAATCCAGCAAACCATTTTAGCCCTGGGAGGACCATGTATAAATAAAAGAAAAGATGCAGAAGAGAGAAAAGTTTAACAAAAGAGAGAAACCACAGAAAGTTAGATGGCTCTGTTTAAGAGTTGAGGGCTGCAAAACCCAGACTGCCGGAAAAAGCAGGGGCAGTTGGCCTTACCCCCCTCACATGTGCTCCAGGAGGCAGGCACACTGTCCTATGCACCCCTGAGATGCAGCGCCTAGCAGAGTGCCTCACATGCAGTAGGCCTTCCATAAGCATCTGTGGAATGCATGAAGGAGTGGATGGAGGAATGGGATGAGGGATGGAAACCTGAAAACACAACAAGGATTGATGAAAGTCGGTTTCAGCCCTGGCTCTGATAACACTCACTGTGCAACCCTGAACAAGTCAGACTCCATCTCTGGCTCTCAGAGTTCTCATCTCTAACATTAGGACTTCACCTGGATCTCAGCTTTTCTATGATGTTCTAGGATTTGGTGAGAATCCAAATGACAGAATGATCTCTGTTCATTTCCAAGGCAAACCATTCAGTATCACAGTAATCCAAGTCTAACTAACTCTGCTAGCCTTTGCCCTGCTTCGTTTTGTACTCCAGTATTCTTGCCTTGATAACCCCATGAACAGTATGAAATGGCAAAAAGATATGACAGTGAAAGATGAGCTCCCAGGTCGGTAGGTACCTGCTACTGGAGAAGAGTGGAGAAATAACTCCAGCAAGAATGAAGAGATGGAGCCAAAGTGAAAACAATGCTGAGCTATGGATGTGACTGGTGGTGGAAGTAAATTCTGATGCCATAGAGAGTGATATTGCATAGAAACCGAGAATGTTAGGTCGATGAATCAAGGCAAATTAGAAGTGATCAAACAGAAGATGGCAAGAGTGAACATTGACATTGTAGGAATCAGTGAACTAAAATGGACCAGAATGGGCAAATTTAATTCAGGTGACCATTATATCTACTACTGTGGGCAAAAATCCCTTAGAAGAAATGGAGTAGCCCTCATAATCAACAAAAAAGTCCAAAATGCAGTACTTAGATGCAGTCTCAAAAATGAAAGAATGACCTCTGTTAATTTCCAAGGCAAACCCTTCAATATCACAGTAATCGAAGGCTATGCCCCAAACATCAGTGCTGAAGAAGCTGAAGTTGAATGGTTCTGTGAAGATCTACAAGACCTTCTAAAACTAACACCAAAAAAAAGATGCCCTTTTCATCATAGGGGACTCGATGGAAAAGTAGGAAACCAAGAGACACCTGGAGTAACAGGCAAGTTTGGCCCTGGAGTGAATGAAGCACGGCAAAGGCCAACAATTTTGCCAAAAACACACTGCTCACGGCAAACACCCTCTTCCAACTTTATCACTCCTGCATATATTCCAAATATTTTCACTTTTATGTGGAAGAAATATACAAATTATCAATATATCTTACATTTCTTTTTTCATTCTGAGGCTTTGAATCTAGTATGTATTATACACTTACACAGCCTGCCTCAGTTTGACTGGTCACATATTAAGTGCTCAGTGGCCACACGTAGGTAATGGTTACTCTATTCAGCACTGCAGATCTAAAATATACATTTGAGATTTTTGAGAAATGTCAGATATGCAATAAAAACTATGACTATTGCTTATTCTTCTATAAATGATTAATGAAATACGGGAAAGGAAGAGAAATTGAATATCTCAAAATGCCAGCATTCTACATACAGAATCTCATGTCTCCTTAAACAACCCATGCAGGTAAATGTCATTATATTATACTATATTTACTGAAGATGAAATTAAACATCCAAGGATAGATAATTTTCCCAAACCACACAGAAGCATTTATACACCCCGTGGATGCAACTAAGTTGATGTGCTTCCAAACTCTTTTCTCTGTTAAAACCTTCAGATTTTCCCTGAAAGAGAAAAAAAAAAATCCCAAACAACCTAATCACAAATGATATGAGCTCAGCATCAACTAAAATAGTTTTATTCTCATTTATATTTAATGAAATCATTGAAATTTGAACATGTGATAATCAGAGGCAAACTCCCATAGGAGATGACTTCAGATCCATGACTCTTTAGAATATTTATTGAAGTAGGAACCCTGGGGCCATTTTCCCTCCCGAACTAATTTGTTTTAGAGCTGGTTTCTTTATTGATAAAATAAGAACTGTACTCTCTGCTCTACCTATTTCATATTTCTTTTTAAAAGCTGGGCCAAAAAAAAAAAAGAAAGATGGTAAGACATTTCATTTAATCGGTTTCATTCTTCTTCATTATCAGGAGTTGTTTTAGCCTGGAATTTGTGTTCCTGGATAGGATAATTGTTTGCTGGTGGGCTTTTAGAGCTTCTAGCCAATAAATCATTCTGTGACCCAGGAATGGGGGATGGCATGTTCCAGGAATCCATATCCTAGTTAAACTTTGGAGATGTAGGCAGAAAACTCTGATTGTTACTATTCAGGCGCTAGTCATGTCTGACTCACTGCAACCCCATGAGCACAGCACAGCAGGCTTCCCTGTCCTTCACCATCTCCCAGAGCTTGTTCAAACTCATATCCATTGAGTCAGCGATGCCCATCCAGCCATCTCATCCTCTGTCATCCCCTTTTCCTCCTGCCCTCAATCTTTCCCAGGATCAGGGTCTTTTCCAGTGAGTTGGCTCTTCACATCAGGTGGTCAGTACTGGAGCTTCAGCTTCAGCCTCAATCCTTCCAATGAATATTCAGATGATTTTCAGTTGATTTTCTTTAGTTTTGGAAAACTCTGATAATGAAAGATATTTCAGGAGAGAAATCTTGCAGCTAATGAATGTTCTCTTCTCCTCAGGGCCTATCTGCAAAATGGTGGAATGACCGGCACTTCCAACACCATGTCAAAACAAACATCTACCCCAAAGACCCAGATGTTGATCTAAGCCCATTTCTTGTTATTGGAGATTTACAACCTGTCAAGGTATGTTTAGAAATCCTAAGCACTTAGAGAAATGTTTCAGGAAGTGGCTCTTGGAAAGGTCTACACATTTGTCTTGAGATCAGGCTGGAAATTCTGGATTCAATTGTTTTCAGAGCATCTCTTCTTCTTTTAAATCCAGGATATAGATTTGAAATAAGTGAATCTGGTGTTGTAAGAAAAGAAGAAAATGTGGAATGAATGACTCTATCATGTTAAAAGTCATTCAGGTTAAATTACTCATAGAAGGCATGACAGTACATTCAAGGCATGCTAAATCAGGAAACACCTATGTATCTATTTATGTCAACTAATTCTAGCTGTTGGAAGAAACTAAGCTGTTATTTTTAGTTTAGTTTATTTTGGTTCATTTATACACGACACTCAGCTTAAATGCCTCATAATACACTTAGGACCTCACCTCTAATTCAGACTTCTTTTTTTTTTCCATTTATTTTTATTACTTGGAGGCTAATTACTTTACAATATTGTAGTGGTTTTTGCCATACACTGACATGAATAAGCCATGGATTTACATGTTTTCCCCATCCCAATCCCCCCCTCCCACCTCCCTCTCCATCCCATCCTTCTGGGTCTTCCCAGTGCACCAGCCCTGAGCACCCATCTCATGCATCCAACCTGGGCTGGTGATCTGTTTCACCCTTGATAGAATACTTATTTCAATGCTGTTCTCTCTGAACATCCCACCCTCACCTTCTCCCACAGAGTCTAAAAGTCTGTTCTGTACATTTGTGTCTCTTTTTCTATTTTTCATATAGGATTATCATTACCATCTTTTTAAATTCCATATATATGTATTAGTATACTCTATTGGTCTTTATTTTTCTGGCTTACTTCACTCTGTATAATGGGCTCCAGTTTCATCCATCTCATTAGAACTGATTCAAATGAATTCTTTTTAATGGCTGAGTAATATTCCATGGTGTATATGTACCACAGCTTCCTCATCCATTCGTCTGCTGATGGGCATCTAGGTTGCTTCCATGTCCTGGCTATTATAAACAGTGCTGCGATGAACATTGGGGTGCACGTGTCTCTTTCAGATCTGGTTTCCTTGGTGTGTATGCCCAGAAGTGGGATTGCTGGGTCATATGGCAGTTCTATTTCCAGCTTTTTAAGAAATCTCCACACTGTTTTCCATAGTGGCTGTACTAATTTGCATTCCCACCAACAGTGTAAGAGGGTTCCCTTTTCTCCACACCCTCTCCAGCATTTATTGCTTGTAGACTTTTGGATAGCAGCCATCCTGACTGGCGTGTAATGGTACCTCATTGTGGTTTTGATTTGCATTTCTCTGATAATGAGTGATGTTGAGCATCTTTTCATGTGTTTGTTAGCCATCTGTATGTCTTCCTTGGAGAAATGTCTGTTTAGTTCTTTGGCCCATTTTTTGATTGGGTCATTTATTTTTCTGGAGTTGAGCTGGAGGAGTTGCTTGTATATTTTTGAGATTAATCCTTTGTCTGTTGCTTCGTTTGCTATTATTTTCTCCCAATCTGAGGGCTGTCTTTTCACCTTGCTTATAGTTTCCTTTGTTGTGCAAAAGCTTTTAAGTTTCATTAGGTCCCATTTGTTTATTTTTGCTTTTATTTCTAAAATTCTGGGATGTGGGTCATAGAGGATCCTGCTGTGATTTATGTCGGAGAGTGTTTTGCCTATGTTCTCCTCTAGGAGTTTTATAGTTTCTGGTCTTACATTTAGATCTTTAATCCATTTTGAGTTTATTTTTGTGTATGGTGTTAGAAAGTGTTCTAGTTTCATTCTTTTACAAGTGGTTGACCAGTTTTCCCAGCACCACTTGTTAAAGAGGTTATCTTTTTTCCATTGTATATTCTTGCCTCCTTTGCCGAAGATAAGGTGTCCATAGGTACATGGATTTGTCTCTGGGCTTTCTATTTTGTTCCATTGATTAATTCAGACTTCTTAAGCAACAGATAAAGGCAAGCAAACTCCAGGATGTCTCAGCTGTTGACTTTCTTAAATCTCAGCTTAAAAACCAGCATGTAAGGATTATTACCAAGATTTTTAGAGTCTGCTTTCAACATAGAAGGTATAAGGATAAGCACAGAAAGGTATCTTTCCTTGAGAAGAAATAATGGATCCTGAGAATTAAGTGCTTAGGAAGAGGCTCTATCTCCCTCTGGAAGAATTTAGGAGCTTTCTAATAACAAAGGAGTGTAGCTTGGTCAGTTGCTGCATGGACTTTGTGGTAACCAGAATTGTGCAACTTTCTGAAAATAGGTTTTCCCAGTTTTGGAAGACAACCTTCTTCCAATTAGCAAAAAAGAGTCTCCTGCCGAGATATAAAGGAAAAAAGAAAGATACCTTGACTGTAGTCTTCAGTCAGTTGTTCTTCACAATGACTCCACAAAAGAGTCAGAGCTCTCTAAAGTTTGAGCTCTCTAAAGTTTGCAAACTCCTAAAGTGAAGTCGATCACTCATGTCTGACTCTCTGTGACCTTTTGGACTACAGCCCACCAGGCTCCTCCATCCATGGGATTTTCCAGGCAAGAATAGTGGAGTGGGTTGTCATTTCCTTCTCCAGGGATCCAACCTGGACCTCCCACATTGCAGGCAGACTCCTTACAGTCTGAGCCACCAAGGAATCCCTGTGAACTCCTTGGCTGACCACTAAACTTATGACATTTTTTACTTCTCTCCTCATTCCCTCACAGCAATGGAGATTTGTCTCACTCAAGTTCATGAGGCAGCCTGACCCCCTCCAGAAGTGCCTTCTGTAGAACTGTATCTAGTTCACATGCTGCCACTTCACGGAGGATGGAGACATCATCACTTCTCCACCATATGTCTCTCTTCTAGAGACATATCCCTCGAGCCTTAGGTTCTGTATACTTTAATTTCAAAGCAACTGCACAACACATTACTTAAAATCTTTTAATCTCTAAAATTCAGTTGTTTCACAACAAAACTAATTCTGGTAAGCCTTAACTGTTTCTGTTCTTCCCTTTTTACTGTCAGTCTTTCTACCACTTTCTTCAAACATTCATTCTTTTAGTAAGTATTAATTAGATCCTCTAGGGCCAGGTCCTGTACTCATAATCTGGAAAAGTTAGACTTCTCTTATGGAGCAATACTCAAAAATCAATCCTTCATCTACATTTGCCAACTCTCCAAAATTTCCCACTGACTCCCTCTTTCAAGTTTCCTACCTCTTAAATATCCAGAAGCTTAGGAGTAACTGCAAATAACTATCATTTCTTTATCACCATGACATTTATTTTTATTTATGATAGTAAGAGAAAGAAGGGTCAACTCTAATATCCAAATAACAGAGGAAATATGTAGAAGGGAACATATCAAAAGAATGGGAAAAGCAAAAAATTAAACACGGCTCACAGTGTTTTAAGTGACTGACATATGGTAAAATTATAGAGGAGATTTGAATTATCATTCATTCATTAATTCCTTCAACTAAACATTTATTAAGTGTCTCTTAGGTAATAGAGATAAACCATTACTTCTATGCTTCCTCTCAAGATACTTGTGGCCTTTGTACATTTGGACACAGACTAAATTAACTAAGAAGACCCCTAGGAAATGACTCAAATTCCCAGTGGTAAGATTATACATTATCAAGCCTTAAAATGAGTAAATCACAGCATGAGATCCAGGATGGAGTTAAAGGAGGAAAGATGAAGTAGATACTAGAGGTTATGACTATGTGTCTTATAACACAACCATTCAACAAATACCTGTTAAATGGATGAATAGATACAAGCAGACTGTGCTTCAAGCAGAATTCTAAGCACATAGGTTGGAGAAGACCTTAAAAACTTATCAGAAATGTTTCTCCTCAATCAACATTCCATTCCACACCAGGACAAATATTTTAAAATGGGTCCCATGGGTATAATAATAAACGATCACAATCCCTGAAGTCAAACGGAATGAACCATCCCTGTAAGAATTTCCCACATTTAAGTAAAGAAAAAAGATACCACAATATTTCCTCCCCCTTCAGTTCTGCTTCTTCAGTGCCTTCAGTTTGACAGTAAATGAACTCTGACCAGATGACTCTTTCTATAGAGATTCTACACACACACACACACACACACACACACGACCTTGAGTATAATAAGAGAAGTCTATATTGTTCTTACCTTAGTTTCATTCTCTCTTCATTCAGTACGGCAAGAACAAAATCAAATTCATCAACTACGAGAAGCAGCACCTGTACTTCATGGGTGAGTCCCAGGGAGCCACAGTCCCTATCATCCCATTTCCTTGAAGCAAACAGTTGTCAACCAGAAGGCACGACTGAAATCCTCCCACAGAGAGACAATCCCATGGCTTGTTGTGCCCCAAAAAAGCAGCGTGCTTTACTTCAGACTTATTTGGGTGAAATCTGAAGAGGAAAATAGAAGAGTTATTAGGTATTCTTAATGGGCACCTCATCACTCTGGCTACTGTACAGGGAAGGAGATGTTCCAAGAAGGATGGGAGGCAGGATGCCAATCAAGGGGTCTGGAATATGTGACTCTTGTGCTGGATAAATTAATACAATACTTATGAAGAAGAAAAGGATAGTGTATACGCATAGGGAGGAAAACTAGGGAAAGAATGCTCAAGCACTGACAGTAGGTGCCAGGAAAATCAGAGTCTCATGAATAAAAGTCACCTGCAGAGCTTCTGTGTGGAAGAAAGTTGACTGTTCCCACAGCTTACATACAGCTGGAGAAGGTATTTTAGTGGACAGATATACACACACACACACACACACATATAACATAGATCTGTGCATGTTCTAGGCTTGAGAGAAAATAGGGTAGCTGAATAATGCTAATACCATTGAAAATATTAGAAGCAAAAATGTTCTGCTCTTAACCAAGTCAAACTCATGATAGCTCACAAAGGAAAGTTTAGGAACCCAAAATATGCTCGTCTAAAACATGCTTACTCATTTGGAAAAGAAACCCAAATTAGGGAAGATTCCAAACATTTCCTGTAGATCAGTGGTCCTCACCTAAGAGCATAGTTGCTCCCAGTGGGACATTTGACACCATATAGATACTTTTCTGATTATCACAACAAAGCGGGAGAATGGTACTGACATCCATGGGGCAGAAGCCAGGGATGTTATAAAAGATGTTACACAGAACAGCCCTGAACAATAAAGAATTATCTGACCCTAAGCTGCCAACAGTGTTAAGATCGAGAACGGTTGCAGATGATCTGGCTTGCCCAGACACTGGCCACCAGGGGTCATCTGTCTCCCCTGACCGGGATGGCCTGTGAGTCTGTTTTCTGAGACACGAGGCTCAACCACCACTGCAGCCTCTTCCAGTGCTAGAATCTGAGGACTGCTCCTAAGGCAGTTATTCTCTTTCATGACCAAGAAGGGTGTGGAGGACACTGGTTCCCCAGTTTGAAAGGTAACTATTCCAGCCCAGACAGATGTGTATTCACATAAGAAAAGAACTGTTGAGGTCTCTTGTCTGAACTCTCCTCCTGTGTGTAGTAAAACAATACAGCCTTAGCTTATGAGGAATGGGTGAATATTGTAGCTTCCCTGCAAATGCCCAGCTTACAAACCACATCGTCCTCAGGAGCTGTTTCATTTTGTCATTTTCTTTCAAACGTCTTCAACTTAGTATGACAGGTACAAATGAGTCCTACTCAACCCGTCAAAGGGAGATGAAGCTTGACATTTCATAAAGGTGGCGAGACAGCTTTCATGCAGATTCCTGTAGCAGGGAAAGGTACTTCAGTATAAGCTGAGCTCAACTCTCAGAAAAGAAAGGGGGGAGACTTTTAAAACACTGGGACATGCTAAAGGAAATTAGGGAAAGAGGATAAAGGGAGGGGAAGCTTGTCATGTGGTTAAGCCATGTGTGTCTTCTCACCGGTGTTTATCAAAGTCAAACTCCTTACCCTCCCAAAGACTGCAGGACAGAGCCCGATCCTCTAAGACTGTACTTCAAAGGGATGACTCCCAAGTCCTTGAGAAAGACATTTCTGAGTCAGGGAAGATCCATCTCAGAGGGACAGAGTGAGAATTTTATAATTGTAAGTTTTCTATCAAATGATCGAAGAAAATGGAGGTCAGAAGCCTACTGAACATGCATTAAGTTCTTTGGACAGTCTTGAACTTTCTCATGCAAGAATTTTAAGGGGGCTGGAGTCATCCCAAGAGCATGGCTTTGAACTGTTCTTAGAAACGATTTCTAGCATTTGTGCAAGTCTCTTAGTGTGTAGGGTGGACAAAATCATCTGTGCTGACAGTTCACAGACTTTGAAAGTTTACAGGTCAAGTTTGGAGCCTAGTCAGGAAGAGGACTCCAGAGCTTCTGGCTCAAGTTTGATCAAGGAGAGAGTTGTCAAAGTCTGAAGTTGTCCATATGACTCCTACGTGCTTCAGGCAACTTCAGTGGTCCTGGGGGAAGGGCAGGTAAATAACTATCTGGCCAGACTCAGGATGCCTGCTCTATATCTGCCACCTGGACATATTGTGACAGGGCTCAACACAAAGGATCGTGAAGGATTGAAGGATTCCAGGGACCTTGAGAAAAGTTGAAAGCTCAGAGCAGAAGCCTTTCCAGGATACCTTCATCAAGAATGACTCAGATCTTCAAAGCTTCCCTAGTCTCCCTAAGGGAGCTTCAACCAAAGTCCTGGTTCAGCCTCAGAGACTCTAAAAGCCCAGCAGCATCCAGGATGTGGTTGTGGCTCTCCACCTTGCATCCCTTCTCAGGGGAAATATTCCAGGGGTAGCATGTTAAGATCAACTCCCACTCGCTTCCGCAGGAATCATATCTGCTTATTTTTTCACTATCCTCTTTTTTTTCCTCAGTTGGGGTCCACCTTTTCATGCCAGTAGCTTTCAACCTGAAATCCATGCAAGAGATGTACCGGAGAAGGTATTGGGAGGTAAGCAAATCGATTCCTTCTCTAGAGCTCGATCAGGCTAGTAGGAAAGGGGAACTGTACATGCTTCGTCTTTTCCAGATGCAGCTTCCTTGAGTACCAGGATATAAGATTTAGCCAGTTTTATTTCCACTAGCTTAACTTTCAAACACTTCTTTCTGCAGGACATTGCCTGGGTCAGCAGCTCTTACATTCGCTATTGCATCACATTTGTTCCTTTCTATGGAATCTTTGGAACCTTGGTGCTCATGTTTTTAGTCAAGTAAGTAAACAATAATATTCTCCCACTCTTATTCTGGATGGTCCTCTTACCTTTCTTATCTGAGCTATTTATGAATAGCAATGATTAGCAGATTATGACACCAGACCATATTCTAGTAGCTGAGATATTTCCAAGAAAATGTGGGATAAAACAGCTGAAATAGTTGAATGAGTTTCTTGGAAACTGAATTTGCCCAATCTTGCCTTTTTTCCCACAAGATTAATTCCCAATTGCAGTATACTAGTCCCTCAGCATCTGAGCAGGATTAGTCCCTGGACCCACCTCAGTTACCAAAATTCAGAGTTATTCAAGCTCCATAGTCATCTATCCAAATATGTGGTTCCACAACTGAGAATTCAGGCAACAACTAATCTTGTAGTAGAGGATGTGTTTACTTAAAAATATCCACATTTAAGTGGACCTGCACGTTTCTCAAAGGACAATTGCATTCTGCCTGATCACCAAGTCCTTCAAACTGTAATCCAGCTGGACATATTATAATTCTTACCAAAGATAATAGCCCAGTTTTTTTAAAAAGTTATTTTACTACTAGAGATTTCCCTACATCAAAAGCACTTTAAACTGAATCACCCTGTTCACCTCGCGATGCATCCCTCCCTGCTCACCGCATCGCTCCTCATCGCAGCAGCGGCGGCTCCTCTATGTCAGGCCGTTTGCTGAAGGCTTCACACTGTGGGCGTCCCCCCGCGTCACTCCTCATACCAGCAGCGGCCCCGCGTCACTCCTCATACCAGCAGCGGCGGCTCCTCTGCGTCAGGCCGTTTGCTGAAGGCTTCACACTGTGGGCGTCCCCTCGCGTCACTCTCACAGCGGCAGCGGCGGCTCCTCCGCGTCAGGCCGTTTGCTGAAGGCTTCGCACTGTGGGCGTCCCCTCGCGTCACTCTCACAGCGGCAGTGGCGGCTCCTCTGCGTCAGGACGTTTGCTGAAGGCTTCGCACTGTGGGCGTCGCTGGTGGCTCAGACAGCAGCGAGCCCGCCTGCATTGTGGGGGACCAGGGTTCGATCCCTGGGTCGGGAAGATCCCCCAGAGAAGGAAAGGGCAACGCGCTCCAGTATTCTTGCCTGGAAAATTCCATGGATGCAGGAGCTGGGGCGGCTAGTCCACGGGGTCGCAAAGAGTCAGGCACGACTGAGCGACTTCACTCACTTTATATGCATTATCTTACTTGATGTAATCAAAAATTCACAACAAGGCAATGTAGATGGTTGTAATCAAAAATTCACAACAAGGCAATGTAGATGGTATCAATTTTACTTTTCTGGTAAGAGAACTAGTTCAGAGAAATGAAATCACTTACTCAAGAGCTAATAAGGGCCAGTGGCAGTGCCAAATCACAACTTGTACCCAGTTGTACCTATCTGATGACAACAGCCAAGCTGTTAATCACATTGCATATATCCTCAATTTGTTGTTGCTTTAGTCGCGAAGTCATGTCTGACTCTTTTGCAACCCCATGGACTGTAGCCTGCCAGGCTCCTCTGCTCTGGGGGTTTCACAGGCAAGAATACTGGAGTCGGTTGCCATTTCTTTGTCCAGGGGATCTTCCCAACCCAGGAATCAAACCTGGATCTCTTGCATTGGCAGATGGAATCTTGACCACTGAGCCACCAGGGAAGCCTGACCTTCAGTTATCTAGGATCTTCTGAGCCTTGCACCAATGCCGACAGAAAATACTGGGGACATTGCTCTGGTACAGTAGGCTGCAAGACAGGGAGTGTGACTGATACCTAGTGTGTCATCTTTAGATATAAAAGGTCTGCAAAGATGAAAAACAAATAACCACCACTTTATTGGAACCTTTGAGTCACTGCCCTTTCCTCTAATGCTCTGCCAGATCTGTCAGTGGTTATGCAAGCCCAGTGACTGGAACTGAAACTCCCCAAGGAATGATCATATCTTCCTTTTATTCTCTTACAGGTTTCTTGAAAGTCCCTGGGTTACATATGTTACCCAGATGAGCCACATACCAATGAAAATGAGCAACGAGGAGAACCAGGACTGGTTCAGCACTCAGGTAATAATGCTGTTCTTGGGAAAGCATCCACTAAAGCATCCTGATTACCATCTGCTTACCTCAGATAATATTTATTGGAGGCTTGCAGGGACCAGGCATTGTCAACTGTTTTGCATGAGGTGTAGCTACATGCTCAGAGTATTCCCACTTCACAAATGATAAAATTGAGGTATGAAGAAGTTCTATAACTTGGGTAAGATCACACAGCTAATAAGTGGTAGAAGCAAGTTTTATTTATTTATTTGGCCACACTGTGTGGCATACAGGGTCTTAGTTCTCCTACCAGGAATCAAACCTGTGTTAAGCACACAGTCTTAACCAGTAGACCAGTGGGAAATCCCTAGAAGCAGGTTTTAAACCTCGGCAGTTTGATTTCAGAAACTTTGCTCTTAACCAAGGCTTAATAAACTATAGTCCAAGGGCCAACCTAGTCCAGTCTGTGTTTTTGTAGTTCTGTTGGAACACAGCCACACTTATACGTTACATATTCTCTGATAACTTTCATTCTAAAACAGCAGAACTGTGTAGCTGTGATGAAGAATTAAAACATTTACTGTGTGGCACTTTGCAAGCAAGGTTTACTAAACCTGCCTCAACATGATACAATCTTTCAACGAATCTCACACTCCTAGAATAACAGAGTGGAGAACCTGGAATCCTCCTCATTTCATTGTATAGATAGTGTGGCCCGGAGAGGAAACTCAGCATTCTCGGCAAGAATGCTGTTAACCATTAAAAGACTTGTGACCCGTGCAGAATACCATTGCCCCCTAAGCCTGACACTGGCTGTGTTGTGATTAACTGGAGAATCCAGTCATCATACTGCTTCCTTCTCCATCCTCGTTTCCAAATTCAGTGGACACTCCACACAGTAGTGGTTCTCAATTGTTTTGATCAAGAAACCACTCTTAAAACTTATTGAGAACATGAAAGAGCTTTCTTTTGTGGAGGTTATATCCACTGATACTTACTGTATTTGAAACTGAAACTGAGAGTTTAAAAATATATATTAATTAATTTTAAAAAAACAAGATAAAGCCAATAAAGGTTAACATCAGAGTGATGACATCATCCCATGTTTAATAGCCTCTGGAAACACCCATGCTATAAGCATGCATGAACGAGAATGAAAAAGGCAAGTACTGTCTCAGAAGTATTATGGGGATCATTTTGACCTTGAACCCCAAGGTGCTCTAAAGTACACTTCAAGGAACCCTGACATAGAACAACTGCAAAAATAACGTGAAAAATGGCAACAACCCTAACAAGAATTAAATCTTAGAAAGGCACTGAATAAAAGTCACATTCATATGCATTCTAAGTAGTCTGGAGAATCTTATGAACTTCTTCTCAGTCTGTCTTTGAATAAAATAAAATACATTAGATTAAAAAGGAAGCTACTTGCATATATTAATAAATGTATCTCTAGGCACAAAACCCTTGATTAAAGCCCTTGTATGCTTTATTCCTCATTTAGAAGTCCTTTAAGTCTATTCTGTGGTAATAACATTCAAACTCGTATAATTTCTACCAGAGTCCTACAATCCCACTTCCATCTGCCAAAGTCCTTACTCATGACACCTTAGTCTTCTGATTTTGAAGGCTGATAGTGACTCAGTCCTCTCAGATCCTATTCACTTCTTCATGTCTATTGCCTTATCGATACTTCTTAGCGAAAGGTCTTATTTCCTTTATAGTTGTAAGGTCCCTGAGACCTGGGACTTATTTCTATCCCTCATGGTTTGTTACACAAAATGCATACTCAATCGGCACTTGTTGAATGATGGATAAATAAAAGAGTAACTAAATCTCTTGTTTGTCACGGGCTCATTTACATCTAATGTAAGCTTTTTCTTTGCAGGTCCTGGCCACCTGTAATGTTGAACAGTCCTTTTTCAATGACTGGTTCACTGGGCACTTGAACTTCCAAATTGAGCACCAGTGAGTAAGAGAAACAGTTCATGATAAAGGGCAAGGGCTGTCACTAATAACTGCCCTCCATATAGTCCAGAGCGAAGCAGAAGACTCACCATCTTAAGGGAAAAAAATGAACCAGGGCTCTCTAAAGGATGCTATTTTTCAATTAACAACAATGATAGATAAGGGAAGAAAGAAATGAAGGAAGTGTCACTATTGTGAGTAAATGGAATGAAATCTTGGAAAAGTATCAGTGACTCAGTTTCCAGATTCCTATGGGCTTAGGACTTGGTGATTTCTTTGCATTTGCTTTGTTGGCAAAACCTAAGAAAAATCAGGACACTTGGGTAACCAACTTGTGTTCAAACTTAACTATATTATAATTCAAAAGTTTGCTTATCTGTGTTTTTGGAGCCAAGTTTACAAAATAACTAGTGAAGTGGAGTCCCTGCTGCAATTTCTAAACGGTATCTGGAAATACTTTACCAATGGATCAGTTACAGAGAGGAAACAGGTAGTTCACTGCTGCTGTCCATGGGGTCAGAAAGACCCAGACATGACTGAGCGACTGAACTGAACTGAACTGAAGGGATAAGATGAGTCTGCCAGCAAGTTTTCCAACTTCCCAGAACAAAAGTATTGTGTCTCTGTGGCTGATACCATTTTATTTTGTAAAAGGAGAAAGGGAACTTTGGGTTTCTCCTTAGGTCTGAAAAGTTGTATATCTCCTCTGTTTCTCTAGTCTGTTTCCCACAATGCCACGCCATAATTATCACAAGGTGGCACCTCTGGTGAAGTCACTGTGTGCCAAGCATGGACTGCCGTATGTGAATAAGCCCATGTTGAAGGCATTTGGAGATATTGTCAGGTAATAACAGTCCCATAACCCACAGCTCTCATTTCCCTTCACTGCTGGTCCCCAGACTCTTCACTGCTTTATGAATCATTCAGTCAAGAGCTATTTATTAAGAAACATTCATGTGCCCAGCATGGACAGGAGGCTCTATAAGGAACAATACTAACAGAGAAATGATAGCAGTCATTCCTACCATTTACTTGCTACCTTCTAGGTACTTCTTAGTGAAAATATCTTAGTGCCCTACTAAATTACAAGCTTCTTATAAACCAGGGTTCTGTATTATTTGTCTTTGTATCACCCACAAAGCCTTGACATGATTTAGAACTTAACCAGTAGGAGGGACTCTCCGTTCATCTGGTTCAGGGTTGAAAACTAAGATGCTTGCTGGGTCTGGTGGGATAGGCAAGGGTGACTCTTTCTATAGGAACTGAGAATCCATACTCATCCTAAAGCATGCACAGTTACCTAGAGAATCCTGTGCTCATCAAATTAACAGCCAAAACCTTGGTTGAATATTTTTTTTATCTTCAGATTAGGTAAAAAAAAAAAATTGTTAATATGAATAAATAAGCTATCAAGGCTAGACCTGGTCAAATCTGATCCCTGAGCAGTAATCCATCTTCAGTTTCAACCACTGCCCTCCTCCTTTCCTGCCCTCCAGATATCTGCCCTCCCTTCAGTTGCTACAGAACTCCCTGCCCCTTGCCCATGACGCATCCTTGGTCACATTTTCTTCTACCTAGTATAACCTTCAAACCTGCCTCCTCCCTCCTGTCACCTTCTCAAGTTCCATTCACTCTCCAAAGCTCACCTGAAAGGTCTTTTCTTCATCTCAGTCCTCCCTTGTCCCCAAGACTAAACCTGTCACATGCTTGCTTCTCTTCATGTCTGACTTTTATCACAAACATAATTAAATATCATATTGGGTAATATGTATCTCCCAGTGCAGACCAGGAACTCCAGGTGGACAAGACTCTCATCACTCTTATTCACTGCTGTATCACCAGAGCCTAGAAAAATGTTTCACTTTATAAAGTAGGAGAGGTATGTGGATATAAGATGAGTTGGTTTATAGTCATACGGTTTATCTTACAGAGATTCAGCAGAGCTTTTTCTTTTAATACTGGAGAAAAGGAAAGTGAAGATTTGGAGTACTGAAAAGCGTAAAATATCAGTCTCCTCCATATAGAAAATGTGAACTCACCTTCTAAACCATAAGTCAGTGTATTTGACTCCCTCCCCCGGATGAGATAGAAAGAGGTCTTTCAGATAGAGCTGAAAATGACAATGTTGTAAAGTATTAAGTAAAAGAGCAAATGTTCCATGAAGTAGCTCCTTTGACCTGAGCCTCACCTACTCACGATTTTGTCTGCTTCTCTTGCAGGGCCCTGAAGAAGTCCGGAGCCCTCTGGAAGGAGGCTTACTGCACGCATCCAGAAATATAATGCAGATGTGCAGGTGCTAAAGAGAAAACCACAGGCCCCAAAAGTGTCCCTTGTGATAAAGTCCATGATACCAAACCTCTTCAATACCTGACATAATTGCAGTTACAGCCTTCCTCAGAAATGTTATCTTAATCAACTAGTCTGGAATTTTTGGGTAGGCAATGTGGTGGTGATCTGTTGTGTTTTACTCCTGCCCCATTCCTGCTCCTGGCCCAGAGAAAGTGTGTGTGTGCATGTGTGTGTGTGTATCTGCATGATAAAACCCTTGTAATTCCTCCCTCCCCCCCAAAAATAAGGTGTCTGCCCTAAATATAATTTGCTGACGGCTTCCTTGCCCCTCCTTTCTTCCTATAAAAACATTCCTTTTGCACAACCCCTGAAAATTCCTTTCTGCTTACTAACTGGGATATTGCTTGATTCAGAAGTCATTGAATAAAGCCAATGAAGTCTTCAGATTTACTCAGTTGAATTTTTAACAGCTTGTTCAATAAGCTTCCCAGAGGAGGACACTCAAGGTCTATTACTTTCACAACTTCCCAGATCACTGAGCATGGCGTTAGAATTCAGATGATCAATCCTGTGGATCATGTCTGCCCTCTGCTCACTGGCCACATGAATAAAGAGGGCTTAATTGGGCAGACATCCATTTAAACTAAATGACTCATGAGAGTTATGTTACAGTCCTACCTGAAATTCTTCAGTGGATTCCCATTGCCCTTGGAATAAAGTTGCAATCTGAAACCTGGTGACTGCCAACAGCCTACCAGCACTGGCCTTCCTCCAGGAACCCTGCCCCACTTTGTACCACTCCCTCCCTCAGCTTCAGTGCCAGGCAGCCAAAGTAGGCACAGGGAAGAATGTTTGACCTCAAATAACACCCAAAACTAGGTCTCCGTACCACCTCCAGGGAACCAAAGCATCAGGACATATCTGGAACTTGAATGCCAGAATCCTTTTAGAAGTGAAGGCTTCTCCGTCCTAGAAGATTCCATGTTGAAGCTTCAACCATATCTTATCATAAATGGACAAGTCCCAAAGCCCACTAATTGATGCCTGCTCCACCAACATTTCTGCCAACTAATACATCATCCATAACTCATAATGTTTGACCAAACCCCAGATCAAAGACACAGATTTGAGCCCTTCCCATGTCTCCTTGCCAGTTGGCCTCAAAATAACACACTTCTCAAAAGCTGGTGCCATAGTATTGCTTTCTACGTGCTTCAAGCCGTGAGCCCTTTGCTTGGTAAAGATTTCAGGGAAGCCTCCCCATTAATTCAAGGCCTCCTTGTGATATACTCTGTAGTAATTACTAGAGGTATATTTTCACATCCATCTGTGTGATCCCTTAGTCTTCCACTGTAACCTGCAATATCCATAAGAGTAGAGACTGCCTGACATGATAGAGACACTCAATGAAGACATGCAGAAGGCAGGCAGGCAGGGAGGGAGGGAGCTGGAGGGGAGAAAGGAAAGAGGGAAAGAAGGAAGTGTCAACTACAAATTGGCACTTGACAGCTACCTCTACAAGGAATAAATCAAGTGCTGCTGCAGCTGCTGACATTCAATACCCTCTGAAAGAAAGTTAGAGTGGAGAACAGGACTGAGGCACTCTGGGCTCTTGGAAAAACTGGCAGGACAGGTATTCAGATAGTTAGATATTTTCAGGAGAAGATTTTATGAGCCTAGTTAATACATCTGTTCATATTCAGAAAAACTCGTTGTGAATCTGCTCCTCATGGCTAGCAGCAAACATCTGCCAAAATGTGTGCATGACTGCAGGTTCCCCCTTCACTAAAATCGTATATGATACTTACCTTATTTCCTAACAAGACACTGAAATGTTTTCAGAGATAAAAGAACAAAACTGTAAGTCAGGCAGCAGTTCCTCTTTGGAGCAGTTTCTCAGAGCTCTCAGAAATGCTGTCTCCCAGGCTGGAGTCCTCATTTTGCCCCAACAACTCACAGCTCGCATGCTGTGTCTTTCTTTCAGTCTAAAGGAGGAAGGAAGGGAGGGAGGGAGGGAGGGAGGAGGCAGGAAGAAAAAGCTGTGTGTAAATGTTGCTGTTGTTCAGTAGCTAAGCGGTGTTGAACTCTTTGTGACCCAATGAACTGCAGCATGGCAGGCTTCCTGGTCTTTCGCTGTCTCTCAGGGTTTGCTCAAACTCATGTCCATTGAGTCAGGGATGCCATCTAACCATCTCATCCTCTGTCCCTCACTTCTCTTCAGTCTCTCGTAGCATCAGGGTCTTTTCCAATGAGTCAGCTCTTCAAAATAGGTGGCCAAATCCTGAAGTTTCAGCTTTAGCATCAGTCCTTCCAGTGTATACTCAGGGTTGATTTCTTTTAGGATTGACTAGTTTAATCTCCATGCTATCCAAGGGACTCTTGACAGTCTTCTCCATTACAATGGAAAAGCATCAATTCTTTGGTGCTCAGTCTTCTTAATGGTCCAAATCTCACATCTGTACATAACTACTGGAAAAACCAAAGCTTTAACTATACAGACCTTTGTTGGCAAAATGCTGTAAATGTAATTCCTTCTAATTAGATAGTAAGATGAATTTTATCAAACTTGTAAGGAGCATTTCTATATTCTAACTGAATTATTAAAATTCTTAGCAATAGTTATGAGCATCTCCTAAGCTGTAAATACTGAGTTGCACCCTTCATAAGTATTATTCCATTTAGTCCTCACAACAGTTAGAAATGGCAAGTTTTATAATTAATCTCATTTTATAAATAAAAACATGACACTTAAGGGAGGCCAAGCAACTTGCCTGATGGCACAGGTAAGTTGAGTATAGTCTCAGATACACGGATGTCTGACTCTGCAGTCAACAATCATTAACATTCAAGAAACCAAAAGTAAAGGGGAATTAAGTTGCATTACAAGTCATGAGCAGTGGGCACATTTGAACTAATAGTTTCCCAGGAGCTGATGGAATAAGCATGAAAGTAGTTATCGTTCCACCTCACTAAGAACAGCCACCTGGGGAGGGGAGGATACAAGGAACATGACAGGCACAGCAGCAGCATAGTAAGAATGCCTGTTAGCTAGTCTCTACTCCCCAATCCTTAAATAGTATTATTCAACTCAGAAGAATTCACTGGGAGAGAATCAAGCAGAGATTTAACCTTTCAGCAAGGGACAGACACTGCAAAAAGCATAAGAACAGAACAGAGAATTGGATTCGAGATTTTGGGATAACATAGCATGAATTCAACCTGGGAAAAGTTCACTTTCCCTGTGGCTTTTCTCTGATACTCTATTTCCTTGAAAGTCTCCCTCCTTTTGATAAAATCTGGTAGTAAAAATTGCCTACATTTTCAGTCGAGCATTAGATAAGGGTGACTGATTGAATTAGAAATCAGGAATCTCAGTCCTAATTTCAGCTCCTCAGTAGCCTGCTATGAAATTGGCCATGTCTCTCACACATTGCCTCGATCTGTAAAATAGGTGGATACATAATATTACCTGGCTTATTTGCAACATAGCATTGCTGGGACAACCAATTAAAGTACGGCAATTAGAATACTTTCATAAGCCAGGAACACTCATTCAGATGCTGGTTGTTATTAATGTAATCAGGGTTCCTCACATCCTGGACCATCAAAATCAAGAGCAATTTCGAGGTCAAACAGATTCACAGGACAGAAAGACACTGAACCATCTCAAAGGTGAAGAGGGCACATTTCATTTGATGAGAGGATTATGAGTCACAAGTGAGACCATGATTTCTCTTATTACAACACGTAACACCTGGGAGCCACCTTCCACTTCTGACTTTACTCAGTCCCCTGGAACCAGCAGCCAGATCTCAAGCCAAAGGAATAGTGAGCCATGGGCTCCAGTTTTCCCAGCTTCCAATTAACCATGTGAGTGCACAACTCTCTAGTGGAAGTCATACCAAATCTATCATTTGTTGGTTAAACAATATACTGTAAAGGGTTTTCTTGACTATTCTCCTGCTAATCATCGACCTGAAGGACACAAAATATAGATTAAACTTTACTCAGAGGAGGAATATACTCAGGTACATTTTTTTGCCCACATTTATTTATGAAAATTTGCATAAAGACAGTTGTGTTGAAAGAATTTACCAGTGAACATCTGTTTAGCCATAATCAAAATTTTGAAGTTACATTTTAGTAAACTTGTTTTATTTTATATATATATCCATCTACCTGTCTATCCATTAATCTATCCTTTTTACGTGCTTCAAAGTAAATTTCCAGGGGCTTATTTTTAAAACTAAACCTCAGATTATGCAAACAACAAAGTTCATTTCTCATCTTCAATAAAGAATTGTGTAGCAGCTTCACCTTTAAGGGAGTTTTATTGGAATTTAAGGGAATATAACATGGTTAATATCGTGCAAAATAAATTAATTCAGTACAAACCTTCTTGTGCAAACATTTATCCTTCATTATTTATTGAGCACTTCAATATTTTTTGAGTGCTTATCATGTGTCAGACTTGGACCAGTTAATGTGACCCAGAGACCGAGGAGCCCAGGTTCTTGAAGCTTACAATCTAGTATAAAAAATAAATAAATAAATAAATAAATGGAAGAAAATCCAAAATCATCACATCTGAAGAAAACAAAAGGGTGTTTTGAGAGTGATAAGCAGGGACTAATCAAAATAAGGAGGGTCATGGAAAAGAAGAATATGAAAGAGTCTGCAATCAGATTCGAAGGAGCGAGGGAGCATCGGCACCAGCCAAGTGCAAAGGCCCTAAGGCAGGAATAAGCGTCTGTTCAAAGAACACAGCAGGAGGCCTGAATGACGGTGGAATAGTGTCCCAGTTTTTCCCTCAATGTTACTTCAACTACATTTCTTCACTGTATTTTGCCTTGACTATTCAGGGGCATTCAAAACTAATTTTCTAGATAAGCAACAAGGATAAATTATAGAGCACAGGGAATTATAGCCATTATCTGGTAATAATTTTAGTAGGGTATAAACTGTAAAAATGCTGGAGCATCATGATATACACCTGAAACTAAAAATAATATTGTGAATCAATGATACTTCAATAAAAAATAATAGAAGTATTTTCTGTTATTTGTACAAGAAGTTTTCTCCGGGAAATCCTCCCAGATTTAACTGACTAGGTTAAATCTCCCTTCATGAGCTCTGTGTCCTGTGTGCCTCACTTATACAATTTATTTCTTCCTGTGCAACCACTGAAAACTGAAAACTCCATGAGGGTAGT